CATTTACTTGAATAAAAGACTATCAAGCCCTAGATAAAATGATGAAGCACATGAAGGTAAGAAATAAGCATAAATCATCAAAGGTTTCACCTAAACAATGATTTATCAAAGTCCTCCAACTCCATGCCATTAAAACAATTCCTTGATCTCACTACCATTGTCACCATGAGAGTGTAAGCAACATGATTAAAAGAATAAACCATCAAAGATAGATAATTGACTCAACATTAATCATTTAAATACATGAAGATCCATTACAAAAGGCAAAATGCTTTAGACCATGAAAAAACCAAAGAATAGACATTGTAATCCCCAAAATATAGCCTAAATTAGAACATGCTTACAAGGGAGGGGCCTCATCACCTCCCTAGATGGAGGTTTAGTTACCCATGGAAGCTTTAGAAGAAGGAAGAAGCTTGGTTGCAACCTCCATTTTCGAGCTCCCTTTCCTTGGCTTCAAGAACTCTATCTTTTTCCTCCCCTTTCTCTCTCCACAAATCTTGCAAAAGATTAGATATGATCTTGTTTGTGTGGTTCCCTTCCTTCGTAGACATCCTCTCCCACCAAACAAGGCTCAACTCTCCACCAAAAGACATCTCCAACCAACCCATAAAGATGGAAATCAGAGATGAGGGAAACAAGGTGCAAGTGGGCTGAAGTGATGGGTCCCGGAGAGTAGTCTGCCCATAGTTCGAGCGCTCGAACTAAGCACTTCGAGCGCTCGAAGTTAGACCAGTAAACTCCTTCCTCTTGACCTGCTTCGCACTACTTTGGTAGAACAGCCATAACTTTCTGCTCCGAACTCCAAATGACGAACTGTTTGAAGATTTGGAAAGTTAATTCAAAGCTCTAAATATGTCATGTTTTAATGCAAGTCCAGTTCTCGAGTTTGATCGGTCAAAAATGGCGAGCAAAGTCAGATTCCACTGCTGCCAGAACTTAGCCTTGAGCACATTGCTATTCAAAGATTGAATAAAACACCATTTTTGCTCCTTTTTGGCCAATGAACCTGGAAATATATAAAAACGTGGAAATAAAGATAATTTATAAAGAATAATCAAATAATAGATTTAACTAATGCAGCTAAAGGTGCTTGAATATGCAATATTCGGCGCTTATTAGTGTCCACTTGGAAAGTCATGTCTTTCCAACTGTAGGTCTTATACCAAATGGCTTCATTTGATGAAGCCACGTGTTGCTTCATGATTGCACTTTATTTGCATATCATCTTTTCAATTGGAATTAGCCACGACAACCTTTCCAGCTGGAGAATATTTATGGTGTAAACAATGAGAAAAAAAAAAAAAAAACTTATTGTTAATGTGGTTTTCCGAGATGCATTTTAATTTTGTCACTTTTTTTCTTTTTAATTGCACGAAAATTGATCTTATATTACCGAATTCAGATCAAGTTAAAGGGTACAAATTCTTGAATGGAGAAACTCCAATATAACCATGGGTATTAAATTATTTTCTGGTGTTTGGTTAGAATTAAAAAAGAAGAAAAAAAAAGTTTGTTTCAAAGAGTGTTTGGTACGGGTGTAAAATTGTGCATGTATTAGGGATCCTGCGCACGTATTCCCCCAAGACAAGCCACTGCCATATAGACCCTAAACTAATCATTGTAATATTCATCTTCAAACCTATCCAAACCGTTCATATCACCCTTGCAAATCAAACCATGTCGATACAATCCAAATGCTATATTTTCGAAACCTCAATCGTCAAGCCATCTGTTCATTTTTCGTCAAGAACCTAGACATTCGTCGGAATATCCACCCCCACCAAAACTGGTCCGATCAGCCCACCCTCCTCGCCATAGCCGATCAGCCCACCCTTGTCGCCGAGAACTTTGCGCGTCTTGTGGAAGCTGAGGAAAATGACTTATGGAGATTTAATCCGTAAGTTAATTTTCCTCAGTTTCCTTTTGTTTGGACGTAAAATATTTTTTAATAAATAAATTTTTTATTTTCAGGTGTTTGGTTGCCGTAAAATATTTATGAAGAAAAAAAATATTAAAATTTAACAAAAATAATTTATCCATAAATTTTCAGCAAGTTATTTTACATGCCCCTTCTGATGGATTTGATCTCAACCTCAATGTAGATCTTTGCCAAAACCGACAAAATAAAAATAAAAAAATATTTTACCTGAAAAAGAAAAATATTTTCGAAAAAAAAATTTTATGTCGAAACAAACGGAGCCTTGATGTAGAATATTTTAATTTGAAAAATATTTTCCTACTTTAAAGTGTTGCCAAACACGTACTCTACCAACTATGCTACAACTAAGTAATGTCCAAAGTGATTTATTTTAAAATTTTATTTTATAATTGTTGAATTAAATAAAATAATTATATATACATTGACAATCATTGCTGATATATAAAATGCTCTCCAAGTTTTTATTTCAAAATACCAAATTATATTTCTTAAATCAAGTAACTCCGGTAGTCTTTTATAACTCATCTTGAAGCATCTACAAAATGTAATGTACGTCCATTAGATAAAGATATGCAACTGGAAGAACAATTTTAGAACCTTTAATAAGGCCTCTCCTCTCCGTTGTTATGGAATCTCTTTACACTTGTGTCCCACAATCACTAGAGCAGGGTTAGTTGCTGTAATTGATAAAATGATTTATTAGAAGAGAATGCGGTGCTTAATTTATATTGGGAAGAGCAATTAATTAAGCACCAAACTTTTGATTGATTTTCTAAATTATTGCCAATGAGACTTTAGTACCCGTTTGCCATGCGCTTTGTTTTAGGCATTTTGTTTTTGGCTAAAACAAAAATAGTGTTTTTGTTGTAGGAGTGTTTTGGAAAAAAATCGAAAGTATGTTTGGGAATGATGTTTTGTTATGGAAATGTCGGAAACAGAAAATGAACAACTGTTAAAACAAGAAAAAACAACTTTTTGATATTTTGATTTTGGGCCAGTTCACAAAGTATTTTAGTACTGTGTAAAATAAAACAAGGCTACAACAAACATGCTTTTGTTGCCAAAATCGACACTGTTGCAGCCCAAAAACAAAAACGCATGCCAAACGGGGCCTAGCATTGTTGTGTGAAATCTTGACTCGAGGCATTCATCATAAAGAAAGGGTGAGTGGTGCAAATTGAAAGAGAAAGGAGTTGAAATCCGGGCACATTCAAAAATTTCCACAAGAAACAAAATTTTACAAAGCAAAAGCAACTATGAAGAAAGGGATAGGAGTGAACAAAGGGTTCAAATCTTCTTGTTGGGAGAGTTTGACATGACCAATTAAGGTCTGCATTTCCGTGAAGCACGGTGATAGCTTTCGATAATGGAAATATGCGAAGACTTAGAATGAAGGCAAGGCCACATATTACTTATCAGAATTGGTAAGGGAAAGAGACAACTACACCAACAGGTCAGCGGCTTAGCGGTAACAAGTCCCTACTTCTCAAAGAGAGGTCAGGGGTTTGAGCTTCCATGGAGGCATGTATGTGTGAGTAGCCAACTAGAAAAAAAAAAAAAGAAAAAAAAAAAGAGAGACAATTACACTAAAATACATGCATGCATATTAATACCACACTTGGCCTTCCTCCTTTGATTCACCTCCACATGTATGGAGAAAACTTGCTCCCTTCTTGTTTCTGTTACATTGTGACCAGTGACTGCATCATTCCCATCAACTCAAGATTTAAGACAAGAATTTTCTAGATCATTTAAGAGAAGAGGGGGTAGGGGTGTTGGAAGGTGTAATTTAGCTCTCAGTTCACCGGATTAACATAGAAAAAATATTATTGAAAATATATAAAGGAAGTTCAAGTGCCAAAAGCTCAAGAAAATTGACAAAGCATAGAGGAAACTAGGAAAGAACAAGCATATGAGGCCACACTGTGATATATTTTCAATAAATAAATACACTATCCATTCTAAATAAATACACTATATATCCATTCTGGTAGAAGCAACAAGCATCAAGCAGCTTTCGTGTCTAATAAATAGAAGTATCATTTTACCCCAACTTCAAGTAGCTTCACAATTAATTCGTGAAGCTTACACCGAAATTCCGATGACTACCTACCTTTTGCTACTTGAGTTAAACTTTTTTTTTTTTTTTTTTTCCCAAATTCTTTTTTATAAAATTTCAGCCAAATTATATTATTAAAAAAAAAATATGATGTATTATTATTTTATAAAAAATTAAAGCAGATGTATTCTCATAACTACTACTTAGATACATTTGTCAAGATTAGATATAATGCTAGATGTGGCATTTGCATTGGATGATTAATCTAGACTATGGTTATTCAATACCATTGGTTCAATATTGTTATTGAAGCAAATAATGATGTCGATGAAGATATGGTTGCACAATACTATGCATATCAATAGCATGCAGGGTTCCTACTGTTGGATGATCTGATATGGCTGAGTACAAACAATTCAAGACATGCCTTCAATGCTTTTGCAATACATGCCATTAAGTTATATTAATTTGCATTTTCAACTGGAAGGTCTTAAATTGCCCGTGAAAATAATGTTATGTGATGTGTTTGAATCCCTATCCAGCCATCTTAATGCAACTGGAGGCATAATTAGGAATCTCTTCATTGCTGTGCCCCATGATCACTACTAGAACAGAGTTACTTGCTAACCGATAAGATAATTAATTAGAAGACAAGGCAGTGATTAATGATTTTGGGGATGAGCAATCAATCACGAAATTTTTAATTAATTTTCCAAACGTATTATTGCGTGGAATCTTGACTTGGAGACGTTCATTATACAGAAATTAAAAGGTGGGTCTGTAAATTGAAAGAGAAAGGGATAGATGTGAAGACTTAATTTAAGGCATAAAACAAAATGCATGAATGGTCACTATGGAGTCATTTTCTAGAGGAAGCTTCCATGTTTGAAGACTTTGACGTGGTCAAGGTCTGCGTTTCCGTAAACCACGGGATAGCTTTTGATTATGGAAATATGCAAAGACTTAAAATACTCGAGGCAAGGCCACATATATCTCATTAGAATTGTTAATCAAAGCGAAAGAGACAACAGCACTTGACCTTCCTCTTCTGATTCACCTCGACCAGCTGTGTCACCTTTTCATGATGGAAAAAACTAGCTCCCTTGTTTCTGTTACATTCATAATATTGTTGGTGCACTACTACAACTACTCTCTCATGGCTTGCTTGGCTGTGACGGTGAGTACTAGTAGGAGGACTGCAACCAATATCACCACTGATCAATCGGCTCTTCTTGCCCTGAAATCCCACATCACTAGCGACCCTCAAAACATTTAGGCCAGCAATTGGACCACCTCAACCTCCCATTGCAACTGGATTGGTGTCCATTGCAGCACTCGCCACCACAGAGTTGCTGTCTTGAACCTTTCTTACATGGGCCTAAACGGCACCATCCCTCCACACATTGGAAACCTCTCTTTTCTAGCCTTACTAGACATCAGAAACAACAGTTTCTATGATAATATCCCTAAAGAGCTTGGTCATTTGCGTAGACTAGAATCCATCAATTTCTCTTCCAATGACTTTACAGGAAACATTCCTAAAGAAATCGGCAAGCTTGCTAGTCTAGAGTTTCTGGATATGAGCTGGAACCAACTTTCGGGCTCCATACCTGCCCCCATCTTCAACATCTCCTCACTGGAAACTATTTCATTCGCAGGTAATTGTCTATCAAGTAATCTGCCAGCAGATATGTGCTACCTTCTTCCAAAACTCTCCAGGTTTGATCTATCCTACAACCAGTTCGATGGCCAAATTCCGTCCACTTTATATGATTGTTCCAAACTTCAAATCTTGTCATTGTCATATAACAAATTTAGTGGAGCAATACCAAGAGAAATTGGAAACTTGACCTTCCTAAAAGGGTTATATCTTGGCGTAAACAATTTAAAAGGTACGATAAATTCTACTTTTGTTCTCCTTAATTACTATATCCATATGTGCTTACATATGGGCAAGGACTTTATCTTATACAGTGACAAAATTTTGCATAACAGGATGGTTTGGGAATTTGTGCTCTATTAATGATGTATATTATTCAATTACTAGGATGAATATTAAATACATAACCTCTCCATCATGCTATCCCTCAACATTAAAAAGTTAGAAACAATATAATTTCTGTCATGATATCCCTAAGGAGATAAGTAATTTGTGTTGACTAGAAATCAATCACGATTTTCACTCTTAATGACTTTACAGGAAACATTCCTAAAGAAATTGGCAAGCTTGCCAGTCTAGAGTTTCTGGATATGAGGTGGAACCAACTTTGGGGCTCCATACCAGCCCCCATCTCCAACATCTCCTCTCTAGAAACTATTTCTTTCACAGGTAATAGTTTGTCAGGTAATCTTCCAGCAGATATGTGCTACCTTCTTCCAAAACTCTCCAGATTTGGTCTATCCCACAACAAGTTCGATGGCCAAATTCCTTCCACTTTATATGATTGTTCCAAACTTCAAATCTTGTCATTGTCATATAACAAATTTAGTGGAGCAATACCAAGAGAAATTGGAAACTTGACCTTCCTGAAAGAGTTATATCTTGGTGCAAACAATTTAAAAGGTATGATAAATTCTGCTTTTGTTCTTCTTAATTATTATATACATATATGCTTACATATGGGCAACGACTTTATCTTATATAGTGAGAAAATTTTGCATAACAGGATGGTTTGGGAATTTGTGCTCTATTAATGATGTATATTAATGGACAATACTTAGCTACTCATCGATAAGTAACTTCACCCTACTCACTATTTATGTGTTCCAATAACAAAATAACACATCACTTTTAATAAAAAAAAAAAAGTCCTGTACGTATATTCAATGGTTGATTCGAGAAAGTAGAGGAGGGCTTGGGTTATTTTGTTATTAAATGTGATGTGTTAATTTGTTATTGGAACACATAAGGGGTGAGTAGGGTGAAGTTACTCACGGTAAGTAGCTAAGCATTATCCTTAATTAATTACTAGGATGAATATTAAATACATAACCTCTTCATCCTGCTATCCCTCAACATTGAAAAGTTAATTAGAAACAATAATTTATATTATGATATGTTGGGTTTTAATTAAATAATTCACATCTAGAAATCAAGAATACTACATAATTAATTAAAGATAGAATTTAGCCTCGTACCTGATTAGTGATTAAACCACCAAGTACTTTTAAATATTGGATAAGATCCTTAGAACCTTTGAGAATTTCCTGCAAAACATTAGAGTGTTTTATCCTCTTCTGAGAGTTGTCATTCGATAGGAATGAATTAGGGTTTTAAAACCCTTATATATAACAATAATATGGGGCAACGGGCTAGTCGCTTAGCAGTATCAGCCTCTTACTTCCCAAAGGAAGGTCAGGGATTCAAGTCTCATAAGAGACAATGTGTGTGAGTACCAACTAGGGAAAAAAAATAATAATAACGGGGGGGACGTCTTCTCTACAAATAAACATACCCAAGTTTCCTTTCCTATCATGGAAACTTAGATATTAATGGTTATAATTAAATCATACCAAATAAGTTGGAAAACCACAATCCAACGGTATAAAACCATACTCCCAATTAGACCACCAAATTGGAAAGTACAACCCAATCCATCAAGTATCAACAATCACATTACAATCCTATTTTAGAAAACGTAGTGCATAAGACCATAAAATAATTTTTATTATTTATATATAAAAATTTCCAACAATCTCCCACTTGGTCCATGCACTCTAAGTTTTTTTTTTTTTTTTTAAAAAAAAAAAAGAAAAAGAAAAAGAAAAGAAAAGAAAAAATAATGACACTATGGATCGGAACGCACTTTAGAAAAGTCGAGTGGCCACTCATTTTGTTTTATAAAAATACAATTATCGAAATTGATGGATTGAACACTCTTCTCTTTAGACTTCCTCAGTAGTGGATATATTAGTCTAAATAGTTCCATGATCGCAAAACCGATTCCATATAGGATTCAAGCAAATATAGTGATTTTTATTTTATTTCATGACATGTACGTGCAAATTGCATGTGGTCTAAAAGCACACTTCACTATCCGTCATGTTTCATACTATCGCTGTATGTCACCTGCACATATTACAGTAAACGTACTGTTAACCTTTTGTTTAGTGTAAGGATTTACCGATATGTAGTTAATCTCATATCTAGCCCAAGCTATCCTCATGGAGTGTGAAACAATCCCACAGGTAAACTTTGATATTTATATTTGGATTTACTAATGTGGTATCAATTCACATCTAGTCCAAACAACCTCATGAGTAGTGAAATACCACTCCCACACAAATCTTATATTTGGATTTACCGATATGGTGTCAATCTCATATCTAGCTCAAACAACCGCATGAGTGAAATATCACTCCCAGACAACCTTTAATAATTATTTTGGATTTATCAATGTGATACCAATATCATATCTAGCCCAAACAATCTCATGAGTGAAATATCATTCCCAAGAAAACATAGCAGCATGTGCATAAACCATATATATCAAGCTAATAATAATGATGCATTATAACTTTATTTTTGATGCAAATAACTGTCACCATAAGGTGTAAACTAGAGGAAAAATAATTGTCACCATAAGGCGTAAAGAAACTATCTGCAATGTAGCATATATTAAAGAAATACCAAACATCATAACATAATGACTCTCGAACACCTATCCGAATCATGTGCTTTATAAATACTTTATTATCTTCAGCTAAAGACCTTTAGTGAGAGGATCTGCAATATAGGGAAACCTTAATGGCATTTAAACCTTAATCTTCTCACACTTGAAAATGTACTTTATGCCAATGGGCTTACTACTTTTGTCACCCTTAAAAAATTTCCATATACTTAATTAATATAAGCCTTTAGAGAAAGTCCAAGTATTCTAGTAGCGTGATCTCTATGGATCCTAATGCCATGGACATACTTTGCATACCTATGTCCTTCAAGTCAAAAAAACTTTACATAAAAATTATTAATATCATGTATCACACAAATGTAATTGCTACCTTGCAAAATACCATCAGCATATAGGACAAGGAAAGCAAAATGACTCCCACTAAACTTGAGTATATGCATTTATCTATAACATTCTCTTTGAACCTAAAATTAGTAATCACTGTATCAAAATTCGGATGCCACTACTGTAAAACTTGCTTAAGGCATAAATGGGCGATAATGAAAGAATGACTCTTAAAGATTCCTTTAATGAAACTGGAGAAAAATTTCAAAGAAATCAGTACTTAACTTTTGCTTAAGAACTTAGCTACCAATTTTTGTCTTATAACCATTATAAACCTCAAAATCACCAACTACAGCATTCTTCTAAGCTCTAAAAGATCTCCTAAGCTAAACAGGCTCTGGAACTAGATTGGAAACTAAAAGAAAGGCTGCAAAGGAGAATAACTAAATGAGTGGGAATAATTGAAAATTTGAGAATTTGAGCTTTAACTGAAACCACTAAAGAAAGTGGAATGAAGTCTGAAATAAATGGAATAAATACTGAAAATTGCTCCTCTGCAAAAAGAAACTACGGCATTCTAAACTCTCACTGGATTCACCATTCTCATCAAATTTGTATGATATATATCAATAATCTTCATAGGTATACAAGCCAGTAAAATCTTCAATCCTTTAATATTTTAGGACGCCAAATAAAATAACAAGTGATAGTGTGAGATCAAGCTCTGTGACGGCCCAAGTTTTGTAAACCCGGTGCGTCAGTGATGACCAAAAGATGGCCCGATAATGGATCCGAAATGCGGAAGTGAAAGGTGAACAACGGTCTCTAGAGATACAATGATTCTCTAAGACACCAATGTGACCCTCAATGAGGTCATGGAACCCAAAGGAAACAAATGCAAAAGTGTCGTTTCAAAAACGAACAAAAAGAACCAAGGGGCAAAATGGTCATTTTACAAAAAGTGGATTCAGGTGCTATTGAGCACACCGCTGGAAAGACAATGACAAATTAGTCAAGTTCAAAATTTTTTTTACTCAATTTGGAGTCCGGACGGGAGAGAAAGGTCAAAAATAAAAATGATGTCGTGGCGGCCCGACGAGGACAACTCACCACTACTGCAACTGAGAGTAAAAACGGGCATCTAAACGGACTTTTTTGGAAAAACTCAAAGAAGAAACCCCCTCTAAAATCAAGTTTCCTACCCCAATCATGGACGGAAATAAAAAAAAAAATGCATTGTAAAATGCCCAGAATGCCTCCAAGAAAATCAAGTCAAGAGGAAAAAAACTAATCCGAGCTACTGCCTAAGTTTTGGAAATAGGGTTTTGGGAGGTTTTTAAATTACCTAAATTGAAAATACAATCTTAAAATGCACCCACAAGACCTCCGGAAGTTTCGGATCGGTCGTGACGATTTTCAAAAAAAAGTCGATGAATAGTACCAACTACATTTGTACTAAAAATTTGCAAAACCTGGCAGCAAGGGTTTTTCGGAAAAATATTGATTTTTGAGGGCCAAGATGATGTTTTCTAGGAAAATACAAAGAGGAAACCCTCCTCAAAATTGAGTTTTCTACGTGACTCACAAGGAAAAATGAAAAAAATGCATTGTGAAATACCTGAAATGCCCCTGGAACATAATAGGGTAAAACTTCCTAAAAATGCTACTTAGAGTTTTTGTTTCATCAAGGAAGGTATTGTTTGCCAAAGTGAGCATGCAAGTGTATGTAATATGATAAAATAGATGTGCTACAATGACCTATGGCCTCATTACAATACATTTACAACATTTGACATGTCAAACCTCCAAGTTAGAAAAATTACATTTCATAGACAAATCATGAACATGCTAGCACTTGCATGTGAACAAGAATGTTTCTAAAGAAGCTCAACTCAGCAAATCACCCAAGCAATTTCAATCTCCAATCTTGTATCCTGTACCTAAAATATGCCCCAGTATCGTAGGGGTGAGTAACATAAAGCTACTCGCAGGAAATGAGCGTGCATCGACCTAAAGTTTTACAAGTTGCATGATTTAATTATTGTGGTTCATTCTACCTAACGTCTATGTCAAGGTGAGATTCAGGGAGCATCCTAGCTACCTAAGATCATTTCTAGCATCAATCACCTCATTCATGCAATTTTAACAACATATGGTCATGCTTACACAAAGCAACAACATAGGAGCATGCTTACACAAAACAACAACATAGTGGTTCTCAAGGTTATCAACTTGAAGTCTAAACTGTAACATCAACTAAATATAACAATTTAGCATAATTAGAATATCTAATACCACACATCAAGACATAGATTCTCTAGGTTATCAACTAGCAATCTAAAAGTGTGAAATCAACTAAATATATCAATTTAATATGGATGTACTTAACAACATCAAATCGCCAATTACCAAAACCATAAGTCACAATTAAACATTAGTTGTCAACTTGGAATTGAATGCGAAATCAAATAGTGGAAGACTTGGACATCACAGCTCGGATTTCCGCTGAGACAAGGCAAATTTGGAGCTACTAACCCCCAGGCAGCCTACCCAACGCGCGAACTTTTGACTTAGAGGACTTTTGTCCCCGTACTAGAGCCAAACCCTA